CATGAGCAAAATCCAGACTCGTTTCAAAGCCATCCCTTTCTGTCCTTCCTTCACGCTTCTGGTCTGCAGGGATTTGCAGGCTGTTCTCCTGATCAATCCATTGCATGGGTTTTGTTTTTCTTTGGGAACAGTATATGTCTCTTGCCTTGCACCCCTTCCAGTACATCTCTGTTTTTCATCCCCCATTTGGGCAGTCTCCCAAAGCTTATTCCCATGAGACAGGACAGTAGCTGCCCTGGAGCACAATAGGGGGGGGGGGTGGGCTCCCTGGGGTGGGTGAAATGGGGGCAGAGTCCCTTGGTGCAGTGAAGACCCAAGTTGTGCCTTCAAATTCCTAAAACTGTGGTGCCTGGGTGTCCCTCCTCACTGACAGCGCTAACCAGGCAGGGAATAGGTGAAACAGCTCCACATTTTCATCATTTGAATAGTCTGTTGAGGTAGTGACAAAAGCTCCCTGAAGGAGGAAGAAAAACCACTTCAGTGCAAAACTACATTTTCAAGGTCAGTCATGAAGTTTAAGAATATTATTTTATGAAAACAAATGAAAAAGAAAGCTGCAGCAATATGCACAATTCACTCTGTGTCAACAAGGACAAGACTCTTGATTGAAATCTCTAACAAGGGGGTTAATAAGCTCTACAAAATGCTAGGTAGTTCTGAGTTGAATGCACCATTTAAAAGTTTCAGGGTGAAATAGCATCCTGGAAGATGTGCCTGAAAAATTCCCCTAAGCAAGGAGAAAAAAAATACTCTGATGAGTTATTTGTTATCTTGGACTGCTGCAATGATGCTGTTCCCTTAAAGATTACCCAAGCAGCAGCCAAGCACAGCACAAACCTGTGTGCTAGTCCTTGTAGTTGTACAGGATACCTAGGCCCATTTTGGATCCTCAGTGTAGGAAAAAATTGCAATAAGCCACTTCCGCTGTGCTATAGATAAGCTTAGATTAGTTTGCCTGCAGGTAACCAGCACAAATGGCATAACACAAGCTTGACAATGATAAACTAGACAAAATATGTGTATACATGATGATGGACAATGCGTTGTTTGGTTATATTTTTCATAGAAAGTTTTTAAGTATCCTAGCTATGATGCTTAAGAGTACAGTGTTTTTATTCTGAGTGATTTTTTGTTGTTGTTCAAATTACAAGAATAATCAGAGATTAAACAAGCATTCAGAGATGTTACAGAAGTGCTCCCACCTTCTGAGCCTGAACTATGTAATTTACTTTTCAAAGAACTCTGATTAGATTTCTGAGTTCAGTTCATATGAAACAATAAAATAAACCAAATTCCATAGCCATTTGCTTTGCTGAAAGGGGTTTTAAGATTACATTAGAGATTGTAAGAAACACAATGAAGAAAAGAAAGAAAATAGTCTGTGTTTTAAAATAAACCAAGAATGCTTACAGAGCAACAAATGGCCCAAAAAGCAAATGTCAAAAAGGCGACTGAAAAAGAAATGCCAACAGAAGCACAGTTACACTAAATGTCCCCTTATCGCAAAGATAAAAAGCAAAGGCTGAACTTGACAAGGCTGAAAATAAGTTTGACAGCCTTAGACAAGAATTGTAAGATGACCTTGGCTACACTGATTTGGGTAAGCAGTTGTAGACAGATGGGCACTTTCGAGTATATAATATTCCTGGGTCTGTAGGGACAATCTTGCTGCTTATAAATGAGGTCTGAAGAATCAAACTAGATGCTGCAACGTAAAAAATGCCAAACATTATCTTCAGAAACAATCTAAAATATCATAGTCTAAAAACAAAAACATCTGGCACTGAGTAGAAGATATCCAACCATAATAATGGAAATTCAGATAAAGCAAAAAATAATAGAGCTATTGTTCCTTGTTCACTCTTGGTACAATACCAAAGAGGATATATCTGGATGACAGTGAAAACTTTATCATATATCTCTTTCTGCAATTGAATTAATGCAGAAAAATCACTTAAAAAAATTGGAAGTCATTATATATTAATTTCTAGGAGAAAATATTGATTCTCAATAAAGTCGATTAATTGCTAGCAATTTACATTGGAGGGGAAGGGTGTGACTCCTAGAGCTCTCTTCTAGGTGTCCTCAGCTACAAGGTGCATGAACTATTTTGTATAATCTTCCCATAAAATATTCTTACACCTCACCTTGCAATTATTTCACTGGACAGTTTTCTTAAGCACTTCTATAAGCCATGTTCTCTTCTGAAACTGCCGGTGCACTCAAGTGTTTCTTCTGTGCATGTTTCCCTGCTACACCAGTAACACACTCATCACCAAGTCTGTTTGGGTTTTAGAGACCTTCAGTGACAGAGGCTTTCATGTTCCTCAGGCTTTCTATAGATAGATCAGCTTCAAGATGGATGGTACTTCAAGACAGTACAAACACCATTATCACATTGCACGGAGGTGTGCACACTTCAAATAAACTTGAAATCATGACTTCTGTTTTTCTCCTGTCTACCAAGAATTGCAAACGGCTTTTTGTGCTGGAGAAATATTTCACTTACAGCTTTCATTTATTAATTAGAAATCTGCAAAAATAAGGGGATAATTTTTAACGTTTTGGTTTGCTGAGTTTCACTCTATAGTAGTGAGCCCTCACAATTAATCATTCGTTAAACTCTGCTCATTCAGAGTCTGTGGATGATGTGCCATTATAGTTTTTTTTCCTTAAGAGTGACCTGCATTACTAAAAGTGTGCAGCAGGGAAACAAAATAAACTAATATTTCATCTTCCATGTGGTGCTTGTTCTTTTGAAAAAAAAAAAGACTGCTGAAGTTGCATACTGTGCAAATATTTTAAACTTAATGAAAGCTCAACAGCATATCAGAAATAAGTTTGCTTTTTCTTTGAGAAAAACACATGAGAATTTGTTTCAGGTCTCAATAAAAAAATACCAAAGTACTTTTCAGCGCTTTTTAGGTCAACCTCCCTCAGATTTACTTGTAAGGCAACTTTGTATCATTCATATGTATCAAATGTATTATCAGTCCACTGTTTTATTTGTGCAGTTCTGAATGAAAACTACTTTCAATGTGTTTTCCATTAAAAAAGCTATTTGTTGTAGTCTAAATAAGATTTCAAATGTATTTTGCATTATAATTCTAGAATTATACATTAATCATAGTTGAAATTATGATGGCTAAACACAGTGTTCTAAGTGCTGTGAAAATCCATACCCTTCAGATGACTAAAAGAAAATAATGTCTTCAAATGCCAAACTGCTGAAGTGACAACTTTCTTCACAGCCCTACCAGATGGTATGTTTTATCTTCTATTAAAGAAAGACATCATTAAGAACATTAAAGCACCTGGATAGGGATTATCAGAATGTAATAATGGTAAAATGGTACTTTTCCCATAGGTGATCAGACTATGGAAAATGAACCACAGGGGTACACATGCATGCCTGCCCCAGAAACAGTGAGGGTAAGGGTTGGTAGCAGTCTGAACATGAACAGAGATGTGAAGCATGGATAAATACCAACCATAGAGCATGCTCAAGAAAATAACTAAGTTTACAGAGAAAATTCAATAGTTTGCTGCAAGTTTGACAACTTATTCTGGTGGTAAGATCTGTGGTGGTACGATATAACCATTCTGATACAACTTTTAATTATTATTATTTATCTTATATGTAGGTTCAAAAATAAAAATAAAAATTGTATTTTGCTGTCCTGGCAAACTCTCAAGCTTCTTAGAGCAAAAGCTGTGGAGTTTGGAAGGGGGATTCATGCGATTCTTAAGAGAAAATAAAAAGCCATGTTTCTTAGGTCCAAGAGCTCTCTCTAAAACTCTATTTTCTACACATTTTACATCTACATATTGATGAAAATGTGTGTATTACAAGTTAAATATTCTTGTAATTATTTCAGTGTTATTTTTCATTTGTACCACCCAGGACCAGAACTTCCAAATAAATGTATTTCTGCTTTGAATTCACAAGTTAGAGTCTCATTTGGTACTGCTCATTTTGAATCTCTGTTGCTAATACATTTGAAATTGCTTCTGCTCAAGAGAAGGGCCTTTCTACAGATCAAAAGACTGAAAAAATTTGCAAGTTATTTCAACTGTAACAACCTCCTACCCAGCTGTCATTCTCACTCTCCTGCATTTTTGTTAGCAAACTGAGATCAAAATATATCCAACATTAGCAATTTCTCAAAATACATAGCCATTTCATAAAGGCATCTGAACATAAAACTTCAGTGCTGTAATCAGTGGCATGATAGCACAGTGAAACTCCCAACCTGCCTGTGACTCGCATTTCTGATTGTTGGGCCAATTTCTGTGTGCCGAGAGGTATGAGCAGTTACTGTCTGTTACACGTTTTCATTTAAGAGAAAAAAATATTTTCCTTGTATCTCATACACTCAATTTTCAAAGCATAAAACTTATTTTGGTCACGCTTTTTTTTAAGGTCTGCTGTCAGACTTTGATACGATGAATGGTTTTGTCTGGTAAGAAAATTTAAAAAAAAAAAAAGGAAAAAAGAATGATCTGTTAAAACTAATTATTGTTATGTAATACAAAACATCACTCTTCAGGGCATGAGTCAAACAAGTCACTTTAAATAGTAATAAATGTTCACTATCAGATTTCTGTTTCCTTCAGCTAAAAGTCCAGATCCCACTCTTGCTCAAGACAGTGTGTCAAATGGAGACATCCCATTTAAATACCCATCTCCTAGGCAAATGTGACAGACAGGATAGTCAAAATTCATGTTTGCTTTAGATTAACTTATTTCTATCGTAGTTGAGGAAATGAAATCTGAAGTGTAATTAACTTGTGTATTTATGACAATTTATCTTTTAGATTATCACCTCTTTACTGAATTGATCGTGTATTTTTTACTAGAATGAAAAGGAGACAAGGATAACTTGATGTATCTCCTTCATACAATTCACACTTTTGTAACAATTCAGATTTAAATCTGAATCTGTTAATTTTTACCTGTTACATAAATGAAACAAATGAAAAATTATTTTTGACTGACTATGTTAATTCTGTTCTCTGGAAGAGTTAGAGCACCTCATCTCCTTGCTCCTGCTGGGCCACTTGTATCTAAATCAATCCTCTTCTGATCTGCTTGAGAAGAGAAACAGAATACTCCATGTAGATAATTATATATAAATCTCCTAGATAAAATAATACAAAGATTACATGAACATACATATAAAAATAAATTAATACATGTATTTATTTACATATATCTAGTGTAGGCATGCCTCAAAATACATTGCATGAATACATGGGAACTTAGAAAGCAGTAAGAATTTGATTACTGTTGAAAGTCAACTAATTTTTTTAAAAATTATTATAATCACAGTAAATAAGTAAATGGTGCATACTTAAAAACTACCTCTATTAGGAATACTCAGAATTTTGAGTTACAACTGCAGTAATACCCACAATGTACAGTATCTCTTCCAACAGCATTTGAAACGCAAAACACTGTAAAAATATGTAAAATAAAATGGAAAGTAGACCTCTAATGAAAAAATTGACTGCCTAACAACTTTTTTCAGATGGATACACAATTAACTAAACCACCTCATCTGCCAGATATGGGTTAAGACATGTGATAATCATATGGGAGAAAACTCACTGTCTCACACACACAGAGCACTTACACATATAAAAAATGCTGCTCTCCAGAATATTCTACTGAGAAAACTGAGATGCTGAAAAGATCCATTTTGTAGCAAATATTTCCAACTCAAAATGGGGGCGGGGGGTTGTCTTAAGAATTTGTATGACTGCACTGGCAACATCAGAGGCTTTACAATCAACCTCCTGCTTCTCAGGATTTTTTTTATTTTGCAAACCTCTGAACAGATCAGAATGTGACATTTGCTTGAAACATCTAAGTGACTATTTAATGAGTCATTCTGCAAATGACTTTTGTCTTCAGCCTCTCTAGGATAACCCAGCCATAAGTTCCAAAAGGGAATTACAAGGGAATAATCAGCTGCATTTCCCATCTTTATGATGCTGACTTTCATTGCACTTTCACAGAGGTCTCAGTCAGTGATTCCAGCTCTGTTTTCAGAGCATTCACCCAGTGCAATACACAAAAATGTATTTCCTTTCATTTTTCATAAGAAATTAGTACTTTTTTTTTTCATTACAAAGCTATATAGAATTTAGAGGATTTTTTAGCATTTAATGCTAAAACAGAGGGAAAACGAACTACCAAGTGCTACCAAGGACCGAAGTGTCTCCATCCTCTCCAAAAATACAGCGGATGCACTCTATTGTCATCCTCTGCCTTGCAAGACATACTTACTCATTCACCAGGATCAAAGGCTATTAATCTCTCTGGTTTTTTTGCATTATCTTTATCTTACTGCATAAAAAGTATTCTTTTGATCACAGAATAAAATTTCCTCTTTGTGGTCAGAACCATGCAGATATATACATTCAATATCTAAATTCTTAGAATCATGCTCATTTTAAATTCTCCAAAAAAGAGGATAAACATCTGTAGCATTAATATCTGTTATCTACCTTTTTAAAAAAATTCTCATTGATTATATCGATAGAAGTACTAACTGCAAATTGAATTAAGCTTAATTAAAAAAAAAAGCCAAACAAACAAACAAATAAATCCACTAAAAACCAGGTTTAAATACATAGTATTTTCTAATGGAATCTTTCTCAATAAAAAAGACTTCTTTTTTCCAAGATAATCATCTACAAAACCCACCCCTCACCTTTCTTCCTCTCATCTCTTTTTATATTAGTCTCTTCTTCTTCCCAGTCTTTTCTCTTTTCCTTTGGGATAACTTTTACTGATCAGAGTCTGCCCTGATTTAAACTTTGGGTGGCCTTGCCACTTTTCCATCAGGATATAGAGCATGACCATCACAATTCCACAAAATCTGCAGGAAACAGTCTGCAAAGTGAGTTGCACTGAATAAAATCCAGCTGCAAAAATCATCCCTCTTTTTTCTTCCTGCACCAAAGGTAGATTTTACACTGAAAATCAGCAGCAAATATCTCATGTCCTTTGGACTGCATGCAGCAATCATTTACATATTGGCTTAACCTTAAGCACAGAGTTGTTTAACAGAGTGCTTTAGTTAAAGTGATTTCTCACTGTCCTACTCTTGCATAAACATTCTTAATTACTTGAGGTGAATTATAAGTGCATGTATTGGTACTGGCTGGAATTCCATGTACTTAACTTTTTGGGAACTGTACTTACTACAATCAAACAGGAAAATTACAAAATGAAACAACTTGTCATTTTTTATTGCCACCTATGAATTATTAAACTTTAATTATAGTTCCCTTAGAGTTTTTAATGACTTACAGTCTTGTTACACATATTTTGAATATTTCAGTTATTGATAGTTCAAATGAGCACTAAGACAAAGTCTTCATTAGCACTTGAAGAATTTTAGAGTATTCTTACCAGAAATGACCTAGAGTGTTAAATGTGTCATTGGTAAATCCTTTGTGCCTTGCACCTATAACTGGGAAAACAGCATGATACTTCTTCATGGGGGAGATGTCAGTTAATTCTCATGCATGAAAAAGAGGCAGTATCATAAAATTTTCCATTCTTTTCCTCTCTGATGTAGGGATAGAAAAAGTCCCAGCTAGAAAATAACGCATTCTGCCAGTTTTTGTCAGTGCTGGGTTATATACACAGCAAAATGTCACCTTTGGTTTCCTCCCTAATACCCAGGAAAGTAGCACTCTGGCCACCTAGGGATCAAACCAAGAAGTTGTTTTTTTTCCAGAAAAGGCAACTAAACCTGGGTATAGACCATGCGAGGCTTAAAAATAATCAGAACAAGAATTTCAAAATCTCAAGCCTAAGGTTTCTTTTGATCCTGGCTTTGTGTCAGCTTTGTCTGCTAGACCCTGTCCAATTTTGTCACAAATGCTTCCATTTCCTCTGATCCTCACCTCTCTTTACTGAGCTGGAAGGCAGAGCTCCTTTTGACCTGGTGTTAGAGTGAACCATAACAAAGAGAGCCCAGGTAAAGTCCTGAGTAAAAATCCCAGCTGTGGTAGAAGGTAGGATTACTCCTCTAGCATGATTATCTTCTCCTTGTCACCAAAGAAATCCTGTAAATGTTAATGGTTCAATATCTTCAAGTCAATGACCCCCACAGCTTAAGTCTTTCCTAGTACATCAATCTGTGTACAAACACTTCCTTTATTACCTTTCATGTAACATTATGTCCATCTTGTGACCAGCAATCCAGGTGCATTCAGTATGCAATTTTGCATTATTTAACATAAATTTTATTAACAGCACATAGTAGCACAAATGTGTCCTCAAAGGTTAGGACTCTTTCTTCTCTATTACAAAGCAAAGAGTGTAGTAGTAAGGAATAAAACAGAGCATAAAGCTGCTGAAATCAAAGCCTTGGAGAGGAAGTGAGAACAAGTGTTTAATGCAGCAAGGAAAATTTCAGAGATTTTTGTGCTGTAAGCTATGTTGCTCCCAAAGGTCTAAATCTCCTAGATTTAGATTTTGAAACTAAACTGTATGGTCAGTCCTGAAAGCAATTGGATTGAAAAGTGTGAGGTTAGTCCAGACAATTTTACATTTGCTAGGCTGAGTAGCTGAGAGTCTTAGAATTTGTTTTCCCTAAAATCTCCAGGCTATGGCTCCTCACAACTACTAAAGTAAAAGCTGTGGAATTTACTTTTTCCTCTCTTGTGCTTTGCCATGAGAAAAATGAAATCTGCAATGACACAGAATCTGGAGCTCCATCTAAAATCCAAGAAGAGAGTCAATGTAGGTCTTTAGATTCATCTTTCCTCTTCAAAAAAGCACTACTGTGAAACTAGTGTTTAAAGCCCTTCTCAAAAATGGAGCAGTTCCTTACTCACACTACTGCATTTGCTTGTGAAAATGTGTTACTTACTCAGTCCCAACACAGCCAGTCCAAGTGGCAGCTACTTTGCATCCCTGGTATAGCAGTGGAGACAGGCTGAGTCCAATTGAATACGACAGTAGCTTCTCTGCTCTTAAAAATTCATTCGTGCCTGTGAGGTATGAAATAAATCTGAAGCCATTTCAACAGATTGTGAACAGAATTAGGATTTCCAGGATTAACACAACATTGTTTTTTTACCATAGAGCAAGTGAAAATGCTTATTAAAAAATGAAATGCTTTGTTACTGTTCAAATATTAATTAAAGACTTCAAAAATTACAAAGCTTGATATATTGAATGCACAAGTCCCAGCGAATTGAAATTGGTCATAAAAGAGATTTAAACAGATGACACAGTTTAAGGTAAATGCATCTGTAACCATTACATGCTTGTTAAAAAGTAGCACCATGTTTCTTTCACTTCAGGAAAATACTGGGAAAAAATGAGACTGTTAGAACAAGATTTCCTCAGTTTCATTAGAAGAACTTACAAATTCTACAGATTTAGGTGTTTAAATTCCAGTAGTAATGCTTATAAGTTTATTAATACTGAACTAAAAAGCAAGCAGGAACAGCATAAGCCATATACACCATAATACAGAAAAAATCTTCCCCTAAATTCCTTCTTTTTTTATTTTTAATACCTCTCTAAGCTTCATTCATTTGAACAGGGCACTTGCACAAAAGCCAATGGGGGATAATGATGCAACCCAAGATCTGAGTGCAGTGTTGTTATCCAAATTCAGAGATAAGAACATAAAAAGCATAGAAGATCAGGTCACAAGCAAGAGCCTTAATCAGGCTTTCCAACTTCTCTCTGTAATATGCTTTTTTTATGTACCATATGCTTGAGGTAACAGAGATAGCCCTGTTCTGATGATTGTCTAATGATATGGGAGCACTTTCAAGAAGGTCAGATCTCTTCTCCTCCCTGTTCTGTGAAAGGTCAGCAGCTTCTTTCAGCAACTTATCCTTTCGGATCCCTTCTTTAGTTAAAAATGGACAGCATGAAAATGAAACCTATTTGATTCACCAAATAAACTTGCTGAGAAGTTTGACCTGAATAATCTTTTAAATTTGGTTCATCTGCCAGGGGATAAAACCAATTATTCATACAGCTTTACTGAAAGCAACTGTTGTCACCCTAATGCATGATTAACTTTCCAAAAATAAAAATAAAAATAAAAAAAAAAACCCAAGTATTTTTTCCCTCAAACCTGACATAACCTCCACATTTCATGAGAAACATGAGTGCTTTTGAATCTCCAACGGTTCCCAGGATAATAAGATACATCTGTTCTACACAATGACTAAGCACTATAAATAACATAGTTTCAGCCCAGCGAAGCAACCAAAGTAACAGTCAGTTACCAGCAGAACAATCTTCAGACAACAATCACCACTAAGGATGAAAGCTCTTGGGCTGAGAAAGACAACTTGTAACACCACTGAGGAATGAAGAGAGACACTTACCAAGTGAAGCTCCTGCTTTACTTGTGCAGGCAGTGAGGAATGTTCCGCTTTGTAGGCATCCATACAGAGCAATTTAACACCATGAATAAGCACCCCAGTGCTAAACGAGCACAAAAACAAAGCAAAAAGAGCAAAAACTCTGTTGTATCAGGAGTATTCTGAATCCATGCTAATTAGCCTTGCTATTAGCAGAGCTAATTTACTCTGGAAGAACACTAAATTGCTACTGGACCCCACTGGGGCTTTTGCAGCACACTGGGCAGCCCATGGCACCACCCGGATGTGCCGCTCACACAGACCTGGCTTAGGGATCACTGACAAGAAGACAGCTCACAGCCCTCTTCTGTGATATAGCAGAGCTTTTACAAGTCATTCTGTTGACACCACCTTACAGTCCTGAAGGTAGAATAGAGAAGATATAGGACAATATCTTCAGAGAAAAACTCTGGCCTTGCTAAAGGGAGAGGTGAACTACTCTCCTACTTGAATAGGGCCAGCATTTCCCTTTCCTTGAAGTGAGTCCCAAGCTGTTCAAATAGCATCAGCTACTTTTATAGTCACAATACTTTACCTCTGAGTTCACTCCAGCTGGAATTTTTTGCTTCATGTGTATGGATCGTCTCAGCCACCTCTGAAGGGATCTGACCCTCGAGGTCAAGAGTCCACGACATCCATTTCATTCTTGCAACATTGCAGGGCTGGTTTTCAGACAGGAAAGAAAAGGATAATTCTTCAAAAGAAACTCAAGTAAAAGGTAGACGAGGAGAATGTAAATGCTGCCCTGGCTGAAGTATAGCCGGGAGAGTTCAGCTGGCATCTGTATATTTCAAAAAAGTGCCATAGTAACCACAAACTGTGGTGATCCTTACTGTGCTTCCTCAGACTTTGAAAATCCATCAGTAAAGTACAATTTTTAAAAGCTATTCTTTCATTTTCTTTCTGTATTATATATTTATAAATATTACCTTATAGTGCTGATGGATAGAATAGTCCTTTGTATTTCCTCTGTTTTTAAAGTACTGTTTTTTTCTGGTTTTTATGGAATAAAGTCCAAAAGCTAGGAATACATCATTTTCTCATCTTGATTGTCTTATTATATATTTGCATGCTTCAACTGCCAAAGTATATTTAGCTGTTCCAGTCTATCCCAGCTCTTTTTTCTCATCAGTAATATTTTTGCATAAGGTCTTCCGTCCCTGAGTCATAAATTTTAGTCTTTTTCTACAGTTTAAAATTGCAGTGGAAGGGCCAGCCTTTGTACATGTACTGCTTAGCACCAACACATCCTCTAACTTCTTTTAACTACTTCCCTGATGTCAAAGAGGTCTGCTGACCTCCTATTTTATCTTTAACAAACAGTTGTTACAGCAGATACTTATTTAATCATCTCATGCAAAGATTTTTGCTATGATATTTACTTTTGTTTTAAATGCATACAGTATGGGGAAAGCAACTTAGCCCTTCTGGTATAAAGAACATTTCTGAAATCACAGAAAAATGGTCTTTGAATTGAGGGTGCTTGTGCCAGGACATGGAGTACTGATAAATAAGTAACCTTTCAATTTTGTAAGCTTTTAATGTTATTATTTAGGCTTATTTTCTTACAACTGCATGCAACATATAGTAAAAGAATCAATCAGAGACCACAATGGCTTAAGAATCCTACTTACCACATAAAAAGTTGAGAACTGATAAACACACTGAGAATCTGACTTTCCACATACATCACCCAGGTGTGGGTGTGAAGGTTTTTTCTTTCTACACAAGTCAGCTGTCAAGAGCATCACCATCTGCACCATCCATGCCCTAGGTGAGAGCTGTTCTCAAGCAGGCTGTGAGATAACCAGCAGGTGAAAAGCCTAACCCCATGAATGGCTGGCTGCTCCAAGGTATGACATTCAGAATTTTTGGGCATTTATAACAAACATGTTGTGATTGAAAATTCAGGGTTTCATGTTACTCATTAGAAGACTCATGTGTGTTCCAGATGTGCTTACCTGAGTTTGCTGTGAGAGTGACTTTTTACATGGGCAGATAGTGATCAGAGAAGGAGGAACAGTTTTAACTTAAAATAGAAGAGATATTAAGAAGAAATGCTTTACTCAGAGGGTAGTGAAGCACTGGAACAGGTTACCCAGAGAAGGTGTGGATGCCCCATCCCTGGAATTGGTCAAGACCAGGTTGGATGGGGCTTTGAGTGATGTGAGCTAGTTGAAGGTGCTCCTGCACATGGCAGAGGGATTGGACTAGGTGATCTTTAAGGTCCCTTACAACTCAAACTATTCTATGATTTTGTGATTACAGATGTAACCAGAAAAATACACATTCAGGTGATCATGGAAACTTGCCAATGTGGATTTGAAGCAAGATATGGATGGCATTTTGAAAATGTCAAGTATTTCCTATGCTAGAAAATACATAATCAGATGTATCAGAAAATAGTCAGATGCTCCTTTCTTTTTACGTAGAGTCTTTGTACAAGTACATTTGCATTTAATTATGATAAATGAATAAATGCCATCAAAATTTTCAAAAATATTTTATTTGGTAAAAAAATACGATGTTTTTTCACTGTTTTGATTTGTCCAGTGGCCTGAAAAAAATAAAACTGAGCTCAAATGTTAGGAAAACCAACTTCATGACAAACTTAATGAAAATGTCACAATCTTCATCAGAAATTTTTTCAGTCTAAAAATAAAGAACATCTGAAAATCCACTTTGCTTTATGCTTATTTACTTCCTGCCTTACTAGCTTAATTGCAGAACACAGAAGCAAAAGCTCTTCAATGCCACACCTGGAAGAGATACCAGGTACACTAATTTTAAAATCTCTCTGGGTACTTAATCTCAGAGATTTTTTTTCTTTGAATTCCTCATGTGTTTATAAATTTAATAAGTGGCCTCACAATGAAAACTTGATCTGTAGTTGTTATAAAGTTGTCTGAGCTGAGTCCATTCTACAGATTGCCATAATCCCTTTTGCTGTCTCTACTACACTTAGAAAAGTCTTTATGGGGAATATTTCATGCACTGAACATTAATGAAATCAAAAATGGAAATATCCTAAACAGTCAAAAAGGTTGCTTGACAATATACCACAAAGAAGATGCATAAGCAACACTAAACAAAACAGCAGATCTATTATTTACAAAACTGAGTATAGCATCTGAAACACAAGTCTATTATGCATTTCAGCATTATATTTCAATAAAGTGCCAGCAACTAGTTTTAATACTGATAGCTTATTGTACATTCTTACCCTCTTTGAAAAAAAAAAATAATGGAGTAGCTATTTAACTTTCTGAAAAAGAAATCAATATTGCACATTTAAAACTTGTTCATTTATCCTCTATATTCATCTGTCATTTCCCTCTCATCTACATAGAAATAATTCATTTTACTATAGAATATCCTTTGTACCGTGGTCTAAAAAATGTGCTTGCTTCATTTGTTCCTGCAATCTTCCTTAAGGAAATATAATTGCACCTCTATCTGAAACATCATTTTTAACTCATCAAAAGCCCTTCAGTGCCCAACAAGCTGGCCTTAAAAAGTTTTCCTATGCCTGTAACTAGAGATGAATAAAACAAGAATCAAAGTGATAAGAGTCAGTGAAGTGAAGTGAACTCAACTCATGGAGAACCCAAGTCAGACATAGATGCCTTTAGATATGGGGAAATGTCCCCAGTATGGGGTCAAGTCCAACAGATAAGCTTAGTCCTTTTATCCTGTAAAACTTATTACTACTAGAGAATTTTCGTTACAAACAGCATACTAAATCCTTTCCATTAAGTTCATATGATATTATCTAGATATTTTCTTGAATAAATGAAACATAATGTGTTAGATGTTTTATAAAGTAACCTTTTGCACTGCATCAAAACATACACTCAAAAAGAGGCTGCTTTGATGCCACATACAACTGCATGTAATAAGGTTCTGAAAGCAATTCACTGAAAAGTGTCTCACCAGGCAGACATGAGTCGTTTTGCCATGAATATTCCTTATGTTCAAAAAATGCATTTAGAAAACATGAGTTATCCCTCTATAACCTTGTCTGCCCTAAAGTACTGTAGATGGCCATCAGAGCATTGTAAGTGCACCCATCAAACACTGTAATCAGGAGTCTTTCCATCAACAAAAGCACAGAAACAGCAGCTGAAAATACTTATATAATTTCTGTTGTGGTTTAAGACCAGCTGCAAACTAAGCCCCATGCAGCTGCTCCCCTCCCCCCCAACCCCTCCAGTGAGAAAGAGAGACAAAGGGTAGAGGTTACGAGTTAAGATAACAAGTTACTGGAAACAGCAATAAGATAAGAAAATGAACATCAACAATATTAATAACAAAAGTATATAAAAAGAGGTGGTTTACATGCAAAAAAAATGCTCGCCAAGTCCAAAGCAATGTAACTGTAGCTGGCACCCCCACACCACTCCCTCCACCATGTTTTCTTTTCCCAAGCCCAAGACAATGAAAAAAAAATCCAGTGGGGGACAAACCACCCACGTGGGACCAGTGCCACCCCACCGCTCAGCTCACCACCCACTCCTCCAGAAAAGGACAAAATGGCCATGGATGGTCTGTATGTTCCCTTTTTTCTTGCTCCCTAAGCCACACCCCCTTCCTTCTTGGAAGTGAGAACCCCTACTTCCACTGCCTGGTGGTGATGTGCATGGTATAGAATAACAACCGAGACACACACAGCATGGCTCCAAGCTCCTCCCCCTCACAGCTACCATGAGAAGATTAACTCTGTTCTAGCCGAAACTAGGACAATTTCCTAATGATAAAACAGTAGTAGTAGTAGCAGTAACAGTAGTAGTAGTAGTAGTAGTAGTAGTAGTATTTACTTCTGAGACTTCCCCCAGTCATACCAGAGCACAGAATTGTAGAGAGGGATCATAAACGGTAGTCTTGAAGTGAAAAAAGAAATAGTTAGCTCTGTCAAATCCCAGTTTCAACTACAAGATTACCCTACTCATCTCTCTTCCAAGTGTGCTTCTCCCAGGGTAATTTTATCCCTATCTGTAAGTCTGCATAGTGTTGATACAGTGTTCACTTCTGGAATGGAAAAGCACTGAGACATGGCATATCACCTGTGGTCTGTCTCCCAAGGTTGCTCTCAAGTTTGGAGTACTTCAGCAGTGTGCATTGACCTTTGAGAACCAATGACAGTGACCTAAATAATTTTTAAAAGTCTGTGCTATAGATAAAAGGGAATGCAAAAAGTTCAGATCAAATTTGCTGAATTTATGTTCTGGGGGAACATTTGGCCTACATTTTGGTTCAAGAGATTTACTCTTCATCTTGTCTGGAGGTTTACAGTATTGCCAGATCACACATGACAGCTGTGAGTGAGATCTTTGAAAATAATGAAAAAAGCTTTAATATCAGGAGGATTTTTGTTCAGAAAAACTGCTTACAAATACTAATGGGAGCTTGTAAGCCTCTAGGATGGCCAAAGGTTACGTTTTTCAGCTTATTTCCCTGCTACCACAAGAGACAGAAATGTACTTTTTATGTATAAATGTGACCTTCCTACACAGTCCTATGAACTTTGCAGCTGCAATTTAAAAAGGAATACCAAATACAGAATATTCTGTAGAAAATTAAAAAAATAATGAATACTACCTTTTTATGCTGGTACAACTGTACTTAAAAGAGCACTATAAGTTATTTTTTTTATCA